CGACCTTCCCCTTCGACGCAAACTCTTGGCGTCACCCACAACTAACTACAACACCCGCCTTCTGCGCTCGCTGATTGGTCGGATGGAATTCAACTGATTGTAATCGCAAACACAGGGACCAGACCCAGACGTTACATGCAGTGAAATGATGATTGAGCGGAATGTACGAATGGCTAAGGCCAGGCTTGGTTGGTGCTGGTCGGAGGCACATAGCGCTGCCTCGCTTCTGTCATTGTGCCCCAGGGCAGCTGTGGCTACAATAGTAGTTTATCACCACTGTGTATGGAGTGAATGAATAATGACATGTGAAGTGTCCAAAAAACCGATGCATTATTATTATTTTTAATAGATTGACATGATACTATATTTCAGATTCAAGAATTTATTTGCCGTTTGCAGTAAAACCACATTGGAAAAACTGTGCAAGACTTCCCCAGTGTGCACCAGATAGTATAATAAAATGGAAGATAAATACTCCAACATTTTAGAAAGAACCAAACCAAGCATTTTCATTAAAGTTAAAGCTGGGGTACCTAACTTACATACTCTATACAAAAATTAACTATAGTTCCTGGCTCTAAAACAGTTCCCTTCTATCACTTGCATGACTTTTTTCGCCTCTTTGAACTCTTACTAGCGAGTATATGCAAAAGTTATATGTGTCCTTATAAGACGATAAATACTTCTACAAGACTCTTTCTGTTGGAACAAAATTATGTACTTATAAAACAAAAAAGTCAGATAAAATACCCAGCTTTAAATAGTTGCTATGCTACAGTTTGTTTTGAAATGTTCTTTTCTTTTCATCTTGAACGTGATGATTTATTTGCCAACTACGTGATGTCTCTTGTTATGTTCGGAAAATTGTTAATACATTGCTTTCTTTTTGCAGTATTTGTTCTCTCCTTGTAGTCCCTCGGTGGAGCCAGACTGTTTTGTTCGCCACATAACAGTGAAAGCCTCATCCATTCTGTTCAGGAGACATTATTGACTGTTGCCAATGGAAATAGAACAGCGGGGCGAGGCAGAGGACACCACTTCAAACCATGTTATGTGCACGCCTGTATCACCCCACATCCTCGAAAGAACAGAGGAACATTATACTTCTACTATCTACATTAGACATCTTCAAGTGGCATCACTAGGCTAAGTCACAGGTCACGTCTGCGGAGTGATGAGTCTGCTCACTGCTCGAGATGAAGGCCTTTGAGCAGCAATACGAACCGAAGTACATAATAAGGAAAGTACACTGCAAAAAGTGATGAAAAATAGGTTAAAAATTGCTCAAATTGGGCAAAATGTCCATTAATTTGAGCGCATTCCGACTGCCTTAAAACAAGAATTGCCAATGGGACTTGCAAAAATGATTGTGTTTTAAAACGATACAAGAAATATCTTCCTTGGAATGAGAAAATAAAGCAACAGTTCTTGAAATAAGGCTGAATGGCTCGTCTCATGTCAGAATGTACTCAAACTAAGGTTAAAAAACACTTGATTCAAGCAATTCTCACCTCATATTTTATCATTTTTTGCAGTGTATTAACATTTCCATGGCAGCGAGCAGGTGGCTGATCCAATAGGTTGCGTTCATGTGACATCACAACATTCCGAAGAGCCTATAGTTTATCATTGTGTTGGGGGGCAGCTGAAAAAAATAAGACTCTTTCCTGGTAACTATGGTAACGGTCAAAAGTCAGACCCCCAGCCTTAGTTTTGAGCTAATTCTCTAATCCCTGGGCCAATCCACATGAAACAAAAACTGTCCCAAAGCTCCACGTCTGCTCTGTCGGGACATAGCAACTACTATGGTGTCATTATTTTATCAAGAAGGTAAGAACATGAATTGACAATACTCTAAAAACATAAATATGATTTTGGCCAATAGAAAGGACTTCTAGAGAGACATACGGAGACAATACGATACGGACATAGAGAGACAATGGAGGGGTTGTGAACTTAATCCCTATAAATGATCTGGGAAAACAATTAGATTTCTTCTTCTTTCTAATAGATAAGCATTGGCACCAAAGTTCTAACTGAAACATAGATCTAGAACATGAACATAGCCTACAGTATACAATATATAAAAGAAAATCTCTGTAAAAATGTAGATTAAAAAAACATTGCAATGTAAAATTAGTTCCTCCCCATTTAAATCTAAATTATGGCACTGCTCATAATTTGCAAATGAGAACATGAACCAATTATAGGGGAATTAACTGAAAGGAGAATAGTCTGTTTACATGCAACCAACTATTTTGGAAAATAGGGTAATTAAATCTATTATTTATCCGCTCCTTAATTTCCTATAATTGACTTAGTAAAGTAAATGAGTATTCAAATGTTCTTTTCAGCTAAATGAGACAGCAAATGCACAATGTCAGTAGAATTATAACCAGGACACCGGGAGTATATTTTGTATATCACACAATCACACTGAAGGAAGCACAAAACCACAAGCAATGATGTCAATTTAAATAAGCTGTAACTTTTATTGCACATTCCTGTTTGGTCTTGCATTGACCGTTCACCATTTGAATATTAAGACCATGGTCTTAACCAAACACTTAGTGGCATGAAGTTGCCCGTAGAGACAGATTATTATGCACAATTCTTTTTATCGAGAGATCTGAAGCCTTTGCTCTGATTCAATCTGTAACTAGGGGAGACTTAAGGCCAGATGTGTTGACTGCATTCCCACAATCCATTAGGCTTTCTTGATGGGGAAGGGACCGTAGTGACGTCAGGGTGGACCCCGGGATCTTTGGAGCGGAGGATTGATTTACTGTAAGCTCCCAATACTTTTAAAGGTGGAGTCCGGCCACGAGAAGCCAACTTTCCCCAATCTTTACAATACACTTTTTGTTTTCTTCATGTAATCTTGTGACAATACCGGCAACATGCTTCAAATCTTCATTTTGGCAAACTACAAATAAATAAAAACACAAAACATTCATATAACACAATGTGACGTTTTGTAGGACGCTTTTGAAAGAAAATATAAAGCATATACGTACAGTACAGAATCCAAAAGAGAGATTTATAAGTACAAGAAAAGAAGCATTTTGCATTTTTTGTTTTCTCCGGATGTGGATTTCTCCCCCCTTGCTTTTCTTGAAAAAAGATATACAGTAGCTAGCTACCAATCACATATCACATGCAGATATATTACAACATTATCAGAGTTCACTCAGTGGTTCTGCAAACTACCATTCTAAACTATATCAAAGTATTCTCAAACACTCAGCTTGTTGAGATATTTTGTAACAATACTTGACAGTTTTCTCCAAGCCAAGAGAACACTACACGATCCTGAAATGGCTGGCCGGATTCATACAGGACTAGCAGGTCTTCGCACATGATTACATACCAGATGGTGTGTTTTTATTTGTATTTACAATATGCATATGACTTCAACAACAATCACATCGAGACATTTGAGGGAGTAAGTAGGCTTGTACCATAGACGTCACAATCGGATGCGCTCCCAATGTACACGGCGAGCAGAAAGTGACAAAAAGTCTTTCTCGGGCTTTGTCATTCCGCCTGTCTCCGCGCTCCCCTAATGATGCGTGCCGAAATGGCAGAGCAATTAGCAGCTCTGCCTTTTGACATTTAACTAGAAAAACAAACATAGCGGCGCGCGTCGTACTACGGCCATCCGATGCTCGAGAGCGTTGATTTAGCTTGGACTTCATACAACACCCGCACAAGTGTCTAGCCACATACTATTAAGTAATCACAGCACGGCCATTTTGTATGCTACCTGACATTTGCGAGAGGATGAAAGCACTCAGGATTGCTCTTCTCTGCTCTGGCTGTCAAGTCCGCCATCACTCAAAGCCCAAGCCAATTTCCCCTCCGTGGTCATTTGCAGTGCGTGCCCAGGCGTGTTTGTGCGCGTGGCGAAATGTCCGAAAGTGTACGTTCATTCTACTGACCTTTATCCAACTTGTTTACATGGAGCGAGACATAGATTATGCAGCACGAGTACAAATATTGAGCTTGGACACAGTCAAAATAGCTAAATAATTTCACAGTAAAATTATATTATTCTGCTTAAAGGGCTTGCTCCCTTGTTGACGTACACACACTACTTTAGCCCTGTACCATCTGGTATCTAAATCATGGGAATTATACAGTCTTCTTCCTCTCAAACATACGCGCTTTCTCTCACACACACAAAAGATTATACGCAGATGAAAAGAGGTGATTGACAGTCATTCTAGTTATCATACAAAGTCTCTGCATAAAAGCAACCAACATGAAGCGGTTTTCCATCCGTTTTTGAGATCGGTATGCGCAACAGTGAGCGCTAAATTTAGCCACGACAGACGGCAAGAACAATAGAGAGAGAAAGTAAGGAATCGTACATTATGTAAATTACAATCTTCATGTTGCGCTGTGAGGGATAGCACAGCCGAAAGAAAAGGAAAGAGTGTGAGTCGATGAAGTCCAATGCACTCCCCAGTCTGTTTAACAGCTTCATTTAAATGCAAATGGACAAAAAGAGTGAGAAAAAACTAAAAAAAAAAAAAAGATATTGGGAGGTTGGATCAGTGGGGATAGAGGGATGAGGTGAGCTCTGTCATTCAGTAGTCTTTCACATTTGTAGTCCATCAAGTCTGATTTGTTCAGCTGCAAGTGCATAAGTGTATTTTACCAGAAACAAAAACACAAAAATACATAAAAAGCAAAAGACAGTCTTGGATGCACACTCCCAGTTAATGTCCAGCAGTGACCACACGCCCATACACAAACACGCACACACACACACACACCATGAAAGGCCTTGTTTTTAAAGTCTTCAAGAACAAAATAGAATGATGATGATGATGATGATGATGATGATTGCATGTTCCCAAAGTCGTCACGAAAAAAATGGATTCCCCAAAACGTAATGCAAGCACACCGAGAATGGGTTGGGGTGAGATGTGCTGGAGTTGGAGAGAGGATGGTGAGTTTTGCGTGGCATGGGGTGATGGGTGCCAGAAGGGCCCTCAGCCGTCGGACACAGGCGGGGACACCCAGCCGTACTTCTCGTGGGTCTTCACCAGCGATTTAAAGGTGGCTTCTGCTTCTTTGCGACTAAATGCTTTCTTGGACTTTCCGGCTTTCCTGCATATACGGCCCTGGAAGACAAAAAAAAAAGGGGTAGAAGGAAAGACGTCAGGTAAATGTTCAAGGCCGCATCCCATTTCAATGTTATGAGCTAAAATCAAAAAGGACCACAATAATCTTATCTTAAAGTGCTTGAATGTGGAAACAAAGAAGATGGAGAAAAACTGTTTCAAAGGCAGAATTATTTTAGTGAAAAAAAAAACAGGACAAGTACAAAATACTAAGTGGGTGGACTCAAATACTACTTTGTGTATGGAGAAGCAAATTGTCCAACCAAGCTTTCTCCAGGTATGTATACAAGTCCAGCCCTCAAATTAACCTCTGAAAAAGAAAAATCTGAAATGAATGACTAAATGACAAGAATCTCTTTATAATATTTGTGTCAGTCACTTACAGTTTCAAAAAGCTGGTGACAATAATATTGGCTTAGTCCATATACATTTAACTTCACCAAGGGCCAGTAGACATTGAATGTGTTTAAAACGCCCCCAGATATAATGTGTATTTTGCAAGGACAGTAGACTCCTTGGTATCAAGATTAGGTAGCAGGTAATGCTGACCAGCCAGAAGATGGGCCTGACTCCTGGTCTCGCAAATGAGTAGATGAATGGGATAGATTCGTGGGTAAAGCCTTAACATTACAATGCTAGTGTTCTCCTCATGCAAAATAGACTTAAACTTAGCCATCTACATCTAAACCCAATGACCTCACAAGACGCAAGCTGTATCTGCAAAAAATAACTCCGCTCACTGTAATAATGTAGCTTTGAGCAGTTCAAAACATTGTCTTAATCTGAATGAGATACATCTTAGCAAATACATCAAAGTCACATTGAGCTCCCAAGTTAAAACCAGCGAGAATAAGGCTCGCATGGGACCTGTTTTAGTAGAAAATAAGATAGCAGAAATTCCTTAGGCCTAACTCATTGATGTTGTCAGGATTCCTTCCACAGGGGCACAGTATGTGGTGGTAATAAAAGGACAAAACTAAAATATGAACTATGATTCTGGAATGTTCCTGCTTCAACAGAAAAAAAATACATCTACATGCTTTACTCAAGAGGAATACCATCGCTTTCCAACATAGAGACTGCTGCAGATGCACACAATCCTCATTCATACAGCGAGCCACAGGGGACATCATTTAACAAGTGGTCTGGATTCAAGTTGACCAACATTAGATCAATGTTTAAAGGCAGAGTGAGGGCTTTTAAGACGTCATGTCCAATCGGAAAATAAAGTGCATTGACTGTAACAGACAGAACCGGGAAGAACACACACAACTGCTGCATACGTGATGATAAAACTGAATAAAACACAGCTTGTAAACCATATATCCTCCATTATACGCAGCATGTTGTCCAGCGCTTCACAAATACATTAACATAGGAATTGTCAGCTCCTATTTTCCGTGCCCTTGGGTGAAAAAAACAAACTCACGGAGAAACTGTCTTTCAGAGTGACATCCAGACAGACCCTTGGAGGATTACCTTCATGGAACAAGGAACAACCGTGCATCACAATCAGGTACAAAGTGAGTCGCAAATAGAGACTTTGGCGTCTACGCATACAACAAGTACGAGTCATTCTTGGGTAAAAGCTACACCTTGCAGTTCAGTGGGGACTAAGGTTGACAAAAGTATCGAAAATCAGATATGAATCCATACATAAACTAGTAAAGATACTCAAGTGAGCAACATAAAAACTTTAAACAGGACAAAATGTAATATTCCCTAAGATTTTAAACCGGTAGCCACCTTTATTATATCCATCTCAGACTATATTTTTAAACTTTAACATATTTGCACACTTCATGTCTTTTTTTGCACAATCTGAGAGACACTATAGATGCCAAATGTGACGTATACATTTCTGTTATCTCCCTTATCATTACTAAAAGGTCGTTTATTCTAATCAATAGAGCGGTGGAATCCCTCTGGTTCATGATCAAGGTTGATTAGTCTCACTGCTTTAAAAGATGAATAATTACAAAAAAAGTACCATTCTTATTTGCAAATCTCAAAATCCCTGTTATTTCATTTGGTATCCAGTCTATTCATTAGTATTTGAACCTTAAAATCCCATCTCACAGCACACACATGTATTGATACCTGTATATTGAGCAGTTAACATATAATCAATTATTAAAATAGTAGCGTTTAATAACCCCCTAGTACATCCCTAGTTACATCAGTTCAGTTGTTATAGTACATTGAAATTCACTTCAATCTTCGAGCAGACTGTGACGCAGTGATTAAAGCCGTCACCTCTCAGAATTGCCCAGTGCCACTCGGGAGTTGACCCACGGACCTACTTGCTAAGTGGAGTTTGCACGTCCCTCCCTGTGTCTATGCAAGTTTGCTCCAGGTGCTACGGTTTCCCCCAAAGATGATCAATTCAACTGCAGCTGAAAACGCCTTGAGCCATTTCTAATGTAAATAGAGTAGTATCTTTTAGCACACTGTACATACACACAAATACATGAAAAACCGGCTTTCATACAAACGGATATGCAAATCACCTTGGATCAATACAGACTTTTAATATTAGTATCAGTATTGGTGCATCCCTGCCACAAAGGAAGACGCCTCATTTCCTCATTGCCATTGTTCCTCCCCAAAGTAAATATTAAATTATTTCTTCTCCATCTGCTCTGTGGGCAAAATCTAATATTGTGTGCTGCGTAATATGCCAGCAAGCTCTTTGTATTTGTTTGTACACAGACCGCGCCTGAAACACTGCACCCGCTTCCTGAGTATTTCCCTGGCAGAGACAAAATGGCACAGAGGATCCCCGCTGAAAGCAATACTAATCAAAGTGTGTAAGGAGTTGAGGCCAGAGCATGGTGCAGTGCAGTAGAAAATGTATGGGTGAATAATATGGCACTGCAACCCGAACTATTGACAGTAATACAAGAGGAGTATTCAATAAGTAAACAGGCTGCAAACATTCAACAGCTTTCCAAATAAAATCACAATCATTGCAGTTATAGGCTTACACTACATACACAGGCTGAATAAGACAATCCCATGTAATACTGACAGATTATTTTATTCTATTGTTTTCCTATATCATAAATATTCAACTGAAATCCCCAAGCTGCAGAAGAAAAGCATAAAAATCGGCTCAATACATTTAAACGCAAATTAAATTCTTTCATTTTTCTGTAAACTCCATTCATTTTGGCGCGATACTCCGGGCACACACACAGTCCCAGGTAATTCTATAACCACATTTGCATTCAGGCCAACACATGAATTTCTATCCAATTTAGCAAAATGATAAGCCAACAAATCATATCCTGCATAATTGTATGATTCGTTCAGGTAGCTACCAGAACGAATCATACAATTATGCAGGAAAATGTGAGTTCTATGATAAAGAAAAAAAAAAGATGCTTTATTTGCTGGCGTTCGCGGACGAGGCAGCGTTGAGTGTCTGGGAGATTAGGGTTACACGTTTCTGTTGCACAATTGTCCTAAATCCCCGACGGAGCTTAGACAAACTTTAATAGCTTCTCCTATGTGCTGAACATGCGGAAATGTAATGAATGGAAAATTAAATGTGAATGAGCAAACACTAAATTTCTATCAGCAGCCTCTTGTTTGTTACACTTTTTTATTTATTTAAACTAACTCACACTGACAGGAGGATGTATGTGCTCGTAAATCTTGATCATGTAAAGATAAACATAATATTAGTTTGTTAGTTCTTTGTTAGGGTTGTTTCCAAAATGCAGTGAATTTTTGCTTGAAGAATTACCAAATATATCAAACGTGTGCGACTAATAGGTTGCGTCATGATCTAGAATTCTATTTCTGTTAGAGGGCAGGTGCCAAGTCAAGTTTATGGGAGAAAGGGATTTTTTGAAAGATTTGAAGTTTTTCCATATTAATGAGGATCCATCATATAAATCATTCTTATGTCTGAAAGACCTTGATACTGGCCAACATCATTCATATGTTTTTTGAATGTTGTCATCAGTTCTAGACACTTTTATGACAAAAAGGTTACGACCATAGGTTATGACAAGCTGATGTGCTGACAAATAACTTTTAGTTTCATGTGAATTGGGCCAGGAATTTGAGAAATGACTTAAAAAGTTACCATAGTTACCAGGAAAGACTTTTCAGCTGCCCTCCACCCCAAACAAACTTCCTAGTTAAGCTCTTTGGAATGTTGTGATGTCACATGAACACAACCTGGTAAATGTATACAAGTGGCGTCAGCTCTTTTGATAGTCATTTAAAGTCATGTTTTGAAGATGTGTCGAAGAAATATCTCAGCACATTCCTCTTTGAATGAACAACATATTTGCAAATATACACCAGTTATACTATCCACTAAAAACAAGACCATAGAAAACCAAGCTCAAACAGCTCATGGCCTCGAATATAAAAGGCAATATCAAAAAATGATGTTATGCAGTGTGTGCCCCAGTGATTATAAATGAGACTGCCCTAACTTTTGAAAAAGCGGCAAAAACAGCAGCGTCAGACCCTGAGCAAGATCAAATTAACTAAAGTCAGGCAGCGAGGACGCTCTCTGCAAATTCCTCTGCAGCTAGGCCTGTACCAAAGTGGCATGTGTGTGTGTGTGTGTGAGAGAAAAACATGGTATAAAACCGTCCATCTGACATAAATAAGGACAAATTGAGTATTAATCATTGCTAAAGATTGTCAGAATATAAAAGTATCTCAAAGTATCTCGCAACCTCACTCCACTCTCGTCTCCTGTATCCTCCTGCGATTCTGTGATCTCAGTGAGACTTTACAGGTTAAATAAAAGCTCAATAAGATAAAATAACCCATATAAGTACCACAGGACCAATACAGCAGCGACGTCAAAGTTGATCCAGTCCTGGCTAAAGCAACTAGCTCTTTTCATGGACCCACTCATACTAAGTGGCTGCTGGCTAATCGTGTGAATGAAGATCAGTCAATGGGAAAAGCAGTTGTGAGCCATAGTTGCATCATGGGAAAGTAGTGTTGGGGGTATGTGTTTGATTGTGTGTGTCTGTGTGTGTGTGGGGTGGGGGGTTGCATAACACAGATATGCACTGGAATCAACATACAGGTCAATACTGGCGTCACATTGGTGATCACATTTCTAAAAGGAGGTCTGCATACATGGACAAGACACAGTAAGTAAATATAAAACTCATCTTTGACACTGTGTCTAAAGAATCTTTTTTCATAAATAAGGCAGTGTGTTAGTCCCCAAGTGAAATGCTTTGATCTTATCGGACCACAACATGCATTTTGTCTCTCCATCTCTATTTGACACTTGGGGCGGAAATCTGATGTAGAGATGAGACAGAGGCCACTAAATACGTACAATTGAAACTGGGGTATTACAAGTGCTTTGAGAAGTAGGATTTAGTTAGATGGATTTTTATAACATGGTTCAATTTATTGTGGATTGAAAGTCAGTTACCACAGCTTTAGGATTCACCCCACCCTTATGACAATTTTTAGAGGAAGTCTTTCTCTGGAATTAGAGTAATGATGAGGAAGTGATGGCGCACTCTTAAGTAGAAATCCCACTCAACATGTGTGTCATGAATACTTACAGTATAAAACGACTGCTTGGCTTTAATTTTCAATCGTTTTCAATATTGATAGCTGGTATACTATGTTATTAAAAAGGTTTCAGACCATTTCTGGTCCAAACATAAGCCACGTGTGAATGGAATAGTGTCCAGAATGTTGAGAATTAAGATGCATTGTTATTTGGATCAAATCTTCTGGATCAATCTAAACCAGCTTTTTTATGTCCACTACCAATCTCCAGACTGGGGCTTTCAATATGTGCCGATATCCAATATGAACAGATAACAGAGAAGGAAATATAACCCTTAAATCACAGCTACATTTTTACAAAATATGTCTAAATTGGGTTTTTTTTCTTTGGTGACAGTTATCCTGCAAACAACAGAACAACTTTGTTTTAGCAACATTTTATGACATTCTGGGTTGGTATCAGCCTATAAATAGTTTTAATATATCAACTACCGGGCATAATCAGGGTATCGACTTGAAATACTAATATTTTCAACGTAAGCACAGACACCGTATTGTATCGGTTCATCCCTAAAAATCCCTGTTAGTAGTCATCAGTTCCATATGAACCAACTCAGACTCTGAGGAGCACAGGGACTGGCCTCCTGCTGGGACTCTGGGCACCTGCAGGAGGCCAGTCCCTGTGCTCCGCAGAGTCAGGACTAAACATGGGGGGGGGGGGGGGGGGGCATTTCAGACTCATGTAGCTGGAGTCTGGATCAGCCTTTTTCTGGTGATGCGAGACAAGCTTGTACATTGGCAATGTTCAAATCTGGTTCTGTTTTGCTGTGTTATTGTGTACTCTATATGGATTTGTATTTTTATGTATACACATGAACACATACTCCCTATGTACAGTGATTATACAGCTGTGTTTTGGTTGTTCTGTGAAAAAGTAATGCGTGCTCCATAGTGTTGGGTTAGCAGGGTTCACTGTCTACTATAACTACTACTTCAGCTATTGCTGCAACCACCACTTAATCACATTGAATCACATGACTACGAATTTTCAAAAACAACCATAAGTATGGCAGATAATACAATGATAGTAGACAACATATTTTGGGCAAATAGATCTGACTCAAATATCCAATGACGCTGAAACGTGAAGAGCCTTTGGCCCCACAGTAGTGAATGTCGATGGAACAGGTCTGGTTTCCAGCCCAAGTTACACAGACAACACAGATCGATTGTTTGGACTGCATTTCATGTCTGCAACATCCAAAGACAGAAAAACAAATAAATGAGTCATAATCAAAACCAACAATAATCCTAATGCCCACAGTTATAATCAGATCAACTAAGCTAACAGGATATGGAGCAATGCTATTTTTAAAGGCTGGTCCCACTCGCACTGTGTACCATCTATCTGACAGCGGCATGCAAACATACGTCTATTATTGAGCTCAAAATGACTGCTTTTTTAAGTCAGCAAACATCCTCTCCACACACAAAATGGCATAAATAGCTTCTTTCTAAACACTATCACAACTGTCTAACAAAACGAATATCCTACTGAGATAAACATTTACTTTCCGGAGGCTTTTTTTGAAGTGACCTCCTGTTGAAGATTGAACAGACAACATTTTAACAGAAAAAATACACACTCCCAGAGATTATTAATCATTACTGTTTTGTTTCAGGTTGCAAACTCAAGGAAGACTACAACGCTGCAGCAGGATTAGGACTGCGAAATCAAGATAAACAATGTACTTTTTCTCTATCCATCTCTTGCGGCTGAATTTACATAATCCGATTTTTCTACAGATGATAAATGCCCTCATGGTGTCCCTGTTTAGTTACATCATCAAAGTCAAAAAACTGACGGGAGGGGTGAGTGGGTGAGTGAGTGGGGAGAATCCAGTGACGGTTTACATAAGGTGCTCTGCAACGACACACTGTCACGTTGCTGACGTCAAAAGATCGAGTGGGTGACGAGAAAGACGCTATGTAAATGTTAAGCCGTAGAATACAAGACAATGCTTGGCACAAAACATGGCAGCATGATTGGTTTAAGAACGTTGGCCTCAAAAATACACAGTAAAACATACATTCTCATCAAAACCCATCCTAAAGCTGCAGTGCATCAAGAATGTGAATATCAGGTTTCAAAGGATTACATAATCCAGTCCGCGTAAATCACCATGCACCACTGGTTTAGGCTCTAAATCACCGGCGTTATGCTTTCAATGCCATCAATACATGTTTGGTGAGCCTGACATAATTCTATTTTAGTGTATCCTGATATAAGTACAGTACAGTAGCAGTGCATAAAGGCTGCAGAGGGATGTTCCTGTGGCAAGCTGAAGCAGGTCTTTGTTGTCAGGGATGCTGATTTATAGAGGCAATAGAGGGAGCAAAGCAAGCCTGCTGCATATAGAGCTTGCATCAGGGAGATACTGAGTGTTGCATGAAATGACCGCTGTTAAGTCACCTAAAGATGAATAATATTCAGTAATCTCAGATGCAGCATGAGGGGGAGTATAGAAGCAGTGAGCTGGTTTTACATGGTGCACTATCCAATCTCATGTTATGGAACTTCGGACTTTGGTTAAGTTACATGGAAAGGAAACTTATTTCTCAAAATAATACATAGTACATGAGTAATCTATATAATCTCCCCACAGAAAAAAAACTATTTGCTTTCATAACAATAAGACAATGAGTTAAATATCCCAATTCATCAAACTCTAACCACAAAACAAAAACGAACCTACTGAAAATGCCAACAACAAAAATAAATGTATATATTGTAATGATGAGCCATGGAAGTCACTCAGTTTCTCATGAAGTTAACAAGTAAACGAATAACAATTCATAAAAATCAGTGAGTCTCACCTGTCCTTTCACCAGGCTTGCTGCAAACTGCCTCATCACCGCTTCCACAGTGTAGGCACTGGACCATCCCCGTGGGGTCAATAGCTCCATGCAGATGGCCCCACCGTCCAGGACGTAGCCGTTTTCCAACCGGGGCGTCAGAACGCGCATGAACGGCGGAGAGAAGGGAAAGTTATCAGGGAAGGTGACGTTAAGCAGGATATACTCAGTGCTGGTCTCCTTCATGTCCTGCCACAAGGCCGAGTCCTTGTCCACTTGGTGCAATTTGACGTTCCAGTCGAACAGGTTGTCCTCTACCAACTCCACAGAAATGAAGTTGTCCCCTAACCTCCGGATCTCCTGTAGTTCCTTCATGAGCCTGCGTGTTCGCACCTGGGAGCAGTGCTGTCGGTGTGGGGCTAGTGGTGGTATGGACGAGGCACTGGTGGCTTTACTCCCGCCTCCGCCTGTCTGCTGTTTCTCCTTCGCATCCTTGCCCTGCTTATCCTTTCCGGGCGCCTTGTCTTTTCCGAGCTGGTCCAGCTTCCTCGCTTTAATCTCTGGGGTACTCAGGATGTTCGTCTCGTTTGCAGTCTGACAGTGTTTATTCGCGTTGTTCTTCTGATTGCCCTTGGTGCCCTTTAGCGAGCCTTGGTGATGCTTCGGGTCCTCCGTGTCTCTGTCGTGCAGTCGGATCAGACCGATTTTCCGCAGTAGGGTAGCCATAGTTTGATAGATCTCAGCTTATCCTCAGATCTCCCCACACAGGGGCGAGATTCACCCGGAGTATGTTCCTGCTCACACAGGCAACCTTTATTCACGCGGAATATTAACCTTGCTGTACTGCAATCTCCTCGGTTCACTGCAGCCTGCGCTCGTCAGTGCACCATCTCCACACGGCGCTCCTAAGAAGCAAACAAAAAGACATTATTAGACGATCAGATTGTGGCAGGCGAATAAGAAGAGCTGACATTACAGTTGCTGCAGTGGTCAGACATGTACACGCTTGATCCTAGAAAACTACACTGGCAAAAGACGGAATAAAAACTATTGTAGAGAGCAATAAGAGGATCTTATAAAAGTAGAAACGCCTCATCTAAAGCAGTGAAATAGTGTGTCCCCAGGTAGCCATTTACACAAATGATCGGGATCCACAGTCGCGTCCTCCGGGACTCTGGAAATAGCCAGACAAATCAATCGGCCTTGATCCACATCAAACAAAACAACACAAGGTAGTGTTGTCACAGTTGAAAAATTACATTTCGACTGGGAGTAAATCCGAAAAGAAACACGCACACACACAGAGAGAGCCGAGGTATCCCGACACTCATTCACCATTATCTTGTGTGCCTCCCTCAGAGTCAGATCCCCATCACTGCGCTTTCGCCCTGCTTTTACCTCTTTCTCAGTCTCGTCACGCTCGGTCTACACGATCCTCATATAAACACGATTCGTCGTTTCCAAATCGCGGCTCAGTGACCGAGGTAATGTGTGGTGAAGGAGCAGCGGCTTCGGTGTGCTCCTGAGGCAGCCAGCTCCTGTTTAAATGCTGATGAGCGAGGACAAACCACCCCCGTAATCCAGCCTGTCAAGAAACCACAGCCGGAAGAGCACCGTGCGATCACATTTCAAAATAAAAGTCAAGACAACGCACGTCACCAACAAAGAAAACCAAAAAATGAATTGTATTCAGGTAAATAGATGTGCATCATCAAGAAATGCCGGTATCATATTAACACATAACTTAGAGATCGTAATAGCCTCGTTTTACATTAAACACTAACAAGGCAACTGTGTCTTGTAAACCAAAATTGTTAACATTCATAAAAGAGATTTATAGATTTATTCATTCATTTTTGACTATTCACAACACTTAAATACATCTGAAAATTCTAGATTTAATAAACGAACAATTTTATCTGAAAGTGTCTAGCGTGACACTTTCAGTCACCACAGATCGCATGGCGGCAGTTTATCCCCGGCGGTTGCTATGACAGCGGGACTTTCTGTTCGTCTCATTGGCTACTTTCCTGCCGTAAAGCGTTGTGACTATGTAGCCTCTTTCAGAACGGCTGTTAGCCATGGTGTTAGCTCTCTAAACGCATCTTTTCACCATAAATATAAAGTTCCACCTTACTCATTCGTGTTGAATCGCTGCTTAATAACAACCAAAGAATATGGCGGAAAAGTTTGACAACCTGGAAGAGCATCTGGAGAAATTTATCGAGAATATTCGTCAGCTTGGTATCATTGTGAGTGACTTCCAGCCGAGCAGCCAAGCCGGTCTCAACCAAAAGCTGTGAGTCAGACCACCCGCCTGTGTAGATGTGCTGATACACTTGTAAGGACTATCTATTTAACATTGCTTTATTGTTTCAGGAATTTTATGATTTCTGGACTTCAAGATATAGAGAAATGTCGTTTGCAGTTGAATGAGATCAATGTCCCGCTGGAGGTTTTTGAGTAAGTAACTAATCCTATTCATATTTTCCTTACTACTTCCTGCTGCAATGAAATTACATTTAGCTCTAAAGTAGCATTAGCATTTGGTATGTAGATAAATAGTTTAGAACATATTCCAAGCTATTTATTGTTGATTTTTTTCTTTCTATTAGATATATTGACCAAGGCCGAAATCCGCAACTGTATACTAAAGAGTGTTTGGAGAGAGCATTGGCCAGAAATGAGCAGGTCAAAGGGAAGATTGACACTATGACGGTAAGCAATAATATTTAGAAAGTAGTAAATGACTCACAAGATATTATTATTATACATGTATGTTTGAGTTTTGTGAAATAAACGTAATAAAGTGTACTCTTTTTTGTTTTGTTTACCGTACCAACCATAAGTATGTCAGACAATACAATGATAGTAGACAACATATTTTGGGTAAATAGATCTGACTCAAATATCGAATGGTTCTGAAACGTGAAGAGCATTTGGCCCCCACAGTAGTGGCATGTTTTGTTTATATTTGCCTATTACCAAACTTGATGTACAAACAAAAAAGGAAAAAAAATGCACTTGCACTAGCCGACTTTCATAATGTGTAATGATACAATACAATACAAATGGGGTTATTTCATTAGTTTTAACGTGTTGTCATACATTTGTCTGTTACAGAAATTCAAGAGCCTTTTAATTTCGGAGCTCAGTAAAGTGTTTCCTGAAGACATGGCCAAATACAAGGCAATGCGTGCTGAAGACCCTCCATCCTAGAGACCACCTGTTCAACTCTTAATCCATGCGCCACAAGTTACCTGGAGTGAGGCAGTGGTTGCAGGAATAAGACTATTTCAAGATGAGCATCACGCAGAATTAATTTTGAATGCTGATCCAGTTTGACTGCTTTCCCCTGGCAAAAGGGAAAGGACTCCAGGCTAATACAACCAAGCCAAATGAAAACTTACTTTGTGATGCCGATGCTTTTTGAGTGAGTGAGGTGTTGCGCTGAACACTCAATATGTGCACAAGTATTGTACAATTCCTTTTTGTGCATTATAAGCACTGCATTTGCTCAAACTACATTTGTATAATATTTTCTATGAATCTCAGGTTTTATGCCACACACGTTTATTTAAAGACATTTTGTTACAGGTTTGTATAACATTTTTTGTAAATACATTTTCACTGTAAAAATATGCTATTTCTTTGTCCCGTCTTTTAATTCATCACCGAAACATTTGTGGATAAATACTATATTGAATGAAAAATTCCTTTGTGACGATTACAATGTTAGTGTATTTTTGTAACAAAATTGTTACATTATTCTAAAGAAGTAAGCCTTGCTGTTACGTGCACTTGCTGTTGGCCAAATTAACTAAATTAACTATATAAAACCTTAGCCCACCTGTGTTTCTATGTGTTAAGTGACTCCTAAAGAACTGGGTGTCAAATACATTGAATTACAGAATGGTGGTAAATCTTTCCAATCGTGAAATGGACAGATCAAGAACCCAGAAGAGGGGCATGTGTCAAGTGTCAATGTTAAGAAAGACCCGATGAGAGTGGGTTAAACAGAAGTCTTGGTTAAATAGATACTATACAGTTCTGAAAAACATACATGGACAATAATAAACTTGGAGAACGGAAAGGAACTGCTCTCGTTCCAATTCTGCCTGGCAGTAAGAAATGGAATAGTCCAAGGAAACAAAGTAGAATGTTATGCAATAGGCAACTCAATCACCTGCCCTGAATCCAGGTTTTCACCTGATGAAGGCAAAATAGGAAAGCATTTCCCATGAACAAGCAGGAACTCCACACCATTGGAAAGGAGGACTTCAAAGTGGAAATAATAATTGGAATAATTGTATAATCATTATGTTTTATCATTGCTTTGTTTTAATAATCTTACAGTCCTTGTTACAGTAATATAGATATGTACTGTTCTGGGAAGGTCACTCTCTTCGAGAAGCAGGTAGCTACAAAGTAAGCGCCAAGTCCTGGGAAGGTCGTGCTTTCCGAGAAGCGGGTGACTCATCAACTGTGCATCTCCATCTTGTTTGTAACAAATGTAACATTTAATGTTTTTCCACAAGTCAGCCTTTTGTGTTTCCCCCCTCCCTTTAGGGCTGACTTGTGCCTGTAACTAGGGGTGTGAAAACTTAATAAAAGGAGTGCGAAGCCAACAGAGACCCCAGAAGCTGTAGCAATCACACTGATAAAGACTAGATTGTAAACTGGGTCTTGATCTCTGTGATGGCTTCTCACTTGCAAGTTCTTCTTTTTATGCAGAATTGTTGGTGAAATCAGCCCCAACAGGAAATTACATGCAAAGAATCTTCAACAAAGCATTCAAAGTGTATTGTTGTAATTCCGACACCATTCATGGGATTGCACAAACTCTGCATTTAATTTAATGTTGTCAATAGAGAATAAATGCACACAAAATATGTACATTTTCAAACATACAATCCATTTAACACAACCTAGTCCACGTTCCGGCCCTTTCATTGTGGCTCTTGTTCTTTCTAAAACGTCTGCTATACTCTGACTCATGGTGAAACGAGTCAAGGGCAACCTTCCAATCACTGTACAACCTGATAGTACAGAATGCCTCATGTTTCATTTACTTGTGTTTTGTGTCCATGAACATTTCTCTTGCACGGTGGTGACACTCCCCCACTTGCTCCTTGTGCGGTAAATACAGTATGTTTCTATATGACTCATCCAAGGTGACTGTCTCTTTTCAGCGTGCCTCTCTGGAGTACTCAGGCCTAACCTCCCTGTGCATGATGCCGCCTCCTCCGTTACCAAGGTAACTTCTGCTCTGTCCTTCTTTTTCACTGACTAAATACTTTTTGTTGAGCTCTAAATTGCTCATCTGCCTAAAATAATCTCAGTTTTTGTCACTGGTGTATTGTGCTACTGTTGATGGAAAATATAATTAAATCTTCTAAATTAGTTTGATAGAATAGACACAGCACAACCACAAACATTAAGTTTTCACTTTCATTTGTCTTGTGAAAGACCACCAAACAATTTGTTTTTGTGTGTGTTTATAACAAGCAATATAGATATCTCTTATCAGATGTTTGTTTGGGCAGATGACCTTGTCTTGGTAGATTTGCAGTGGTGCCATATTCTTTCCATTCCCAGATGATGGATAAAACATTCCTCTGTAGGATGTTCAAAACTATGGGAAATCTTTGTATTATCTAACTATGATAAACATTCCTCTCCAACTTCCCCCTGACCTGTCGGATGCCTGAGTACGAGCACTTTTTCAAGCCACTGTAACTATTGATCCATTGACAACCTGCCCATGCTCTGCTAACCCTAACCCTAATGCTTATTGTGTATTTATTTCAGAATCCATTACTAGAAAAAGGCAACAAAAACATTGTGATTCTATAATGGAGTGATTTAGATGCCAGTGACATTTTCTTTGTGTGTGGTATTTGGAGATTCTTCCCCTCTCCAATTTCAGGCTGTAAATGGGACACTTGGTGCATGGCATTTAACACAAAGGCTCCAGTGAAGTGAGCTCTGCAGTAAAAGCTGTGGTGTCAGGTGACCCAATGTTATTAATTAAGTTGATTAAAAACATGTGATTACATATTTTGTCCGTAGAGGTCAACCTGAAAAACATACTGCAAGTCTTTGACCCTGCATCAAACTGATTTGTTTCTACCAGTTATTGTGTCCACCTATTAGGGCCGGCATTTTCCTCGTGTTTGACCATGGATAACCCCGGTGCCCCGGATGACATCAACCAAGTCTGTGTCGGACCTGATTACCCTCACCCCGGCTGCCATGGTCACTATAGCGGGAAAAGTAAGTTAAGTAGTTGTGAAAAGGCGTAAGAAAATGGAGGATAGTCAAACTTATAGGCTTAATTCACCAACAGGAAGTGCCTCTTTTTCTGACCAAACCCTAGAATCTCAATTGAAAAAAAAAAAAACAATGTTTGTTAGGTTGAGATGTTGGCTGAAATGTAAATTCTTGCTCTTGGACAAACTCAGCATACACAAAAGAAGAGGTGCCTGCCTTTGATACCATTACCATAATGTCTTTGTGATGCTAATGCTAAGCGCCTGGGCCTGGGTTGCCCTGAGCTGCACACATGACCTATGGCCACAGAGACATGTATCCTGGCTGTTGGCTGCTCTCAGGACACTTCTGCATCTTCTCAGCGCGGGTCAAGAGGCAGTGCCTGCTTCCTGCTGTCGCTGTGGTCGTCATGGAAACACCCCTCCTTCACACCGCTGCATGCCCTCGTTCTCTCTCATCCATAGACAATGAGCTGTGCATGTGTGCGCACGGGAGCTGTATGACAAAGCCCAAAAGTCTGTCTGTTTAGAGACTAATTCTACATTGTTTGCACTAAATTGATATTATACACACTAGAATATAGGAAGAAAATATATACCAAATGGTCCTGAGCTCTATCCTTCTTTATGGTGTGACTTGTACGCTATAACTAGGAATACTTGGGCTAAAATTGTAAAGGATATTCACATTGGTGCTACATGTTAAATTATGATGAAAGCTGATCATGCATTACACAAACATTAATAAAGCATTGGTACCGTGGAACCACCAGGGTCTGCCATTGCCTGTGTGCGTGAGAGAGTGTGTAATGGAGTAATTAGATCATAAAGACTGTTAAAGCTCCCCTCTCTCCATTTTCTATCTCTACCTCTAACTGTTCATTGGAGTATTTTATGGTATTATGGTCTGATGAGCTCTTTAAATGTTGTAGCAGTTTTGTGGTTGTTGTGTTGTAGCACGTTTAATAAGTTGATTAGATAGAAATGCATACTGTTCTATATTTGGTTGACTACAGTTTTTTTTTTAAATTAATTTTTGAATTGTTATGGTATCCCGTGTGAATAGGTTAAGGTTTGCCCTCATTGGTCGTTTGGTTTTATATTAGCTTCATGCAGTTAAATGCAATCCATATTCTGAAATGAGCTTTTTCAGTCTATGCATAATTTAAAACCCACCTCAAGCAGGAGCATACACTTAAATGTGAATATAATAACCTACAAGTAAATATGGTATTTGGAATATTTACATCCTGTTATTTATGCATTGCTGAAAACATAAATGTGACGCTAAAAACATACATTTTTGGGCTAAAATTGTGTATAACTGAATCCCAACAGACTAGCTGCCTGGGAATTGGCATTGGAGGATTTCATTTATAATTTCCCTCTGGTTTAATTATCTTTGCAGACAACAGTGGTTTTACACATATTGTTAATGTTAGAGTGAGCTGCCTTTGTCTATGTGAGTGAGTGCATCATATCTTCTCTGCTCAATGTCAGTGACTGAGCTGAGCTGGCAAATACTTTCAAGTTTAAACCCCACTCATTAGATACTGCAAAGAGAAAATCAATCTCTTCCATCACCTTCTGTCACCACATGATTACCAGAGTCAATGGGCCATCATACTGGTCTAGGCTATGATTTACAGTAGAGGTGCATCTTGTTAGTTTTCATCAAATGCCTGGGAAAAGTATCCAAACACATTCCCATATCCTAAAAGCTTCATTTAGCCCAGGGCTGTTTGCTTTAGGCGGATTAAGATGTTAAGGGAAGACAATTGGAACAACCTGGGTATAAAAAGATGCAGCCTGTGTTTTATTTTACTGTGTGATAGTAATGATGTGATTTAAAAACAGTTTTTTAATTGAACGTCACACTCCCACCTCAAGTTTTACATACAAAGTTCATTGGTGCCATACGTCGGTGAGAATATGCGCATGTGTGGT